GCTGTGATGACGTCACATGCGCGCTTTCGTCGAGCGCGATTTTGTCCTCCGCGATTTTGTGGTGGAACCGTCCTCTACACCTGACGGAACAGCTCCGCTGTCATTAAATGAGGAAGAATTGTTTTTTTAGGGAGGCCACCCTGCAGGATGATCCCTCGACTCTATAATTTGTCACCCCAAATTTAATTTTGCACAGTCGGTTGTTACATATGCAGGTAGTCCTCGACTTCCGACCGCAACTGAGCCCAACACATCCGATGCTAAGTGAGACGCTGCTTAAGTGAGTTTTGCCCCCTTTCTTGCGAAGTGAATCCCTCCAGTTGTTAAGTTAGTAACGCGGTTGTTAAGTGAATCTGGCCTCCCCATTGATTTTGCTTGTCAGGAGGTCGCAAGAGGCAATCACATGACCCCCCCCGGGGACACTGCGACCGTCGTAAATGTGAACCTGATGCCAAGGCTCTGAATTTTGATCGTGTGACCGCGGGGAATGGTGCAACGGTCGTAAGTATGAAAAGGGCCGTAAGGGCCGCCGTAACTTTCAAAGGCCACTAAACGAACGGCTGTGCGGATAGTCCTCAACTTACAACCATTCTTTTCGGGACCTTTGCACAACACTGCATTCAAGTCAAGGCCAAGGGATCCAGGAAAGCCCACCGCCCCCCCCAACTCACCGTGCAGATTATCTAGGAGGGTGCTGAGTTTGAATCCAGTGAAGGACGCATTGGAGAGTTCGGTGCGGTTGCCGTCCCTGATGGCGGGAAGCCCCACAACCCGGACGCCCACGATGAAGAAGCTGATGCAGACGGTGCCCAGCACCACCATGACGATGAGGAAGATGAGGAAGGTGGCCTTAGCGTAGATGCCAGCACCCACAAGGCAGACCAGGAGGCACAGGAAGAGAAGGACCGTGGCGTACAAGAGGTCAAACCAGTAACCGCGGGGCAGGACCTGTGTGGCTGTCCCAATGGTTCCCTCTGCGTAAAAGTTGGGAAAATGGTGTTAGAATAGAACTGGAATGGACCTTGGAGGTCTTCTAGTCCAGCCCCCTGCTCAAGCAGGACACCCTATGCCATTCCAGACAAATGACTGTCCATTCTCTTCTTGAAAACATCCAGTAAAGGAGCATCCACAATTTCTCAACACAAGCTGTTCTTTCCTTCCTTCCTTCTTTCCTTCCTTCCTTCCTTCCTCCCCCCCTCCCTCCCTCCCTCCATCCATCCATCCATCCATCTGTCTGCCATGNTATCTATCTATCTATCTATCTATCTATCTATCTATCTATCTATCTATCTATCTATCTATCTATCTATCTATCTTCCTTATTATCTCATGCAGAACTGGCTTTCATCCATCATTGGTGCATTCTGTTTCACCAGCCTGGCAACGGTCATTTAATCTGCCAGGCTTCTCATGTGAACATTTTTATTATGTTTGCTAATATGGACTTGGCAGCCAAGACCTGAGCTCCATTAAGCAAGGAAAATATTGGGCTTTTAAAAAAGTTTTCTTGCAAGAGCTTGTTTAGGGACGTCACAATTCAATTATGCCCCCCACGCGATACAAGTGCTCAGGAAAATTATTAGCAAAGATATTACAAAGGGCCAGATGTTCAAAATGGCGTACGTGCACAAATTCTGTCCCCGTGATGTTCCTGGCAGCGAAAACATGAAAGAAAGAAAAAATAGTCCTTTTCAGGTGCTGAATAGTAGAGCGTGGAGCGAAAGGATAAGGCTTAAGGGATTTGGTCTGCCCATTTTGACAAGACATCCATTTATAATCAAAGGGAAAAGGTCGCCTCTCCAGGATTGAGTAGCAAATGTGATTGCAGAAGGGCCGAGCACTGCCATGCATAGGGGAGAGTGAAGGAGTTGGCAATGAAAAAAGGGAAAGAGAAGAAAGGAGCAAGAGGGACAAAAGAGAGGGTGAAGTTATAATATAAGTATTCACCAGTTTGTTGGAATCAGGTTGAGACAGGGGTGGGTTCTGGCTTCTGCCACTGCTGATTTGCTCAGGGATGCGCTGTGCGGTGCACACACACATGCTTAATGTGTGCTATGCGCACATGCCAGCACTGAAAAAATTACTTCTGTGCATTCTCAGAAGCAAGAAACAAGAATAGAATAGGTTCAGGCCATGGCAGGCCAAGTTACTACCTACTCAGCCAAACCGGTCCAAACCAGTAGGAACCCACATCTGGGTTGAGTATCTTGGAACAAGCTTCAAAAGATTTTGAATGTGTATGAAACTGGGGACTGAGGGTATACAGGAAGCCCTCAACGTGTGACTGGTCACTTAGCACCGTTCAAAGCTATGACAGATCCAAGAAAAGTGGACTTGCAACCTGAATCAGAAGTTCTAGCAGTTCCCATCCACTCCTGGCATAAAACCACACTTTGGGCCCTTGGGAACATGGCTGCATATATAGCCATTTGTATGGTCCCATGGGAATGTTTTATATTTTTGCTGAAAAGTGGCAAAACTGCACCAAAGTGAAAAAGTAGTTTGCTTAATGACTGCTGCATTCACTTTATGACCTCCAGGTTTGCTTAATGAACACCTCAAAAAATAGGCAGGGTCTCTTACGGTTGTAACTTGAGGACTATTGTATACTGAAGGATGCAGAGGGCAATATTATTGCCATAACGATAGCTCTGGGAGGTGTGTAAGTTGAAAATATTCTCTGTATGGCTCCCCACATACCCCCCGCTGCTATCAGAGAGTATGAGAGAGGGGTGAAGAGGCCAAAGAAGCCCAAAGACTTATTCTTATTCAAACATACAATAAAATCATGCTGCCAAAATTAGCAACCTACATCTGAGCAGTGTGTATGGCAGCCAAAAACATGTCAGGAGATCTAGATAGGTGGTAGGTTGCCCACTTCTAATTTAAAAGTGCTAATTGATTATCAGATACTCTTAATAGTCCCTCCCCTTGCCCCCACCCCAATACCTGGCATGGAGATAGGGGCATTGACAAGCAGAAGCCTCTTGTCAAATTTGTTGTTACTTGAATACCCACAACTTCTGGAGGCAAGTCATTCCACTGAACAACCAATCAATGGAATGACTTGCCTCCAGAAGCTGTAGGTGCTCCAACACGGGAGGTTTTTAAGAGGAGACTGGACAACCATTTGTCTGAAATGGTATAGGGCCGTGATGGCAAACTTATGGCACACGTGCCACAGGTGGCATGCGGAGCCATATTTGCCGGCACGTGAGCTGTCAGTTCCAGCGCGCATGCATGTGCCAGCCAGCTGATTTTTTGCCTTCCAGAGGACCAGGGGAGGCCGTTTTTGCCCTCTCCAGGCTTCAGGAAAGCGTCTGGAGCCTGGGGAGGGTGAAGAACAGGTCTAACGGGCCAACTGGAAGTTTGGAAATGATCAGTTTCTGGCTTCCGGAGGGCCTTGGGAAGCCATTTTCGCCTTCCCCAGGCTTCAGGAAAGCTTCCGGAGCCTGGAAAGGGTGAAACTCCCCCCTTGTGCAGGGGGGGTGGGTGCCATGCACACATGTGCAGGTGGGCATGGTGCATTGCATTGTGGGTATAGGCACACACACACAATATTGGCATGCCTTTACAAAAAGCTTTGCCATCACTGGTATAAGATTTCCTGCCTGAGCAGTGGGTTGAACTAGAAGACTTCCAATTTCCTTTCCAACTCTGTTATTTTGAGATCAGAGCAAAGGAATGTACTATTGGCATATGTGGGAAGGAAGTCAAACCTTCCCTGCCATTCAGTCTCCCAGTAGATTCAATGCCATTCTGTTGTGGGAACCTAAGCCCCAGGACCTGCTCCAACAAGAGAATATAATGTCAAAGTTTGGACTTACCACTTTAGATTTCAGGAGAGGTTAACTAGGCTTAAGAATCTCTGCCATCCATCTTCAAGCACATAGTGTAATTAAAATTCTAAGATTTGGCAAGAAAGATTTCAGTCCATCTCCTACTGTGCTCTTTGCTTACTTTCAGAAAATTAAAACAAATGGAACACTAGAGAATCAAAACAGACTGAATCAGCTATTTTCTGAACCCGGTAAGGATTTTCCATTCTGTTATTTATAGAATTACAACTTTTCCCCCATTCCAAAACTTCTAAGTACATCCAGTCTAAGACTAATATAATATGTAACATAGACTTTCCCATTTCTTTAATGATCCTCTAAGCTGGCATTGCCAGATTTCTTCCCAACTCGTTTCTCACTATAATTCAATAACCCCTTATAAACAGGAACATGGAATGACTGACATTTTAGATTAAAATATAGTCACAGAGATCTTAATTCGAAAGTCTCATTGGGATCAGGGGTGCCATGCTCAAATAAAAAGACAGGACATTAATGAATGCAGCTCTGAGATTTACTGGGGTTGAGAACATATGAAACGTCACATCAAAGCTAATTGTTTCTTCACCACAAGCCTTTGTGATTATTATGATTTTTTTNGAAAATGTTTGTTGCTCCATATAAAATTTTTAATCAACTCCCTCCTCCGGTCAAAGGTGTCCCTCTTTACCAATCTGAAAATCTGGTCACTTTAACCAAGGCCCACTCAGTTTAGCCTTGAGCTACTGATACTCACTTCTATTGGTACCTTAAAAGTCCTTTGGAGTATCAATATGGTGTAGTGGTTAAAGACACCACACTAAAAACTGGTGATTATGAATTCCAGTCGTGCTGTAGGCATGAATCTAGCTGGGTGACTTTGTGTCAGCTCCTATCTCTCAACTCTTGGGGAAAAAAGTGTCCACTTCAGAAACCTTGGCAGGAAAACTGCACAGACTATTCTAGGCAATCACCAGGAGTAAACAATTGACTAAAGGGACAAAAGAAAAGGCCCTATTGTTCTCCATTACATTTGTAAATGTAAGGTGAATTTGCAACAGAAGTTTTTTTTTCACAAACACATACCCTGAATTAGAAATGACGAGACATGCTATCCCTTTCTGTTTCCAGTTAACCACTGCCTAGGCTCACATATTGTCCTAAGCCATCATTTCTTCCACGGCAATTTATGGAATAAACCATAACTGCACAGGTTCTCCCAAATGCCATAAACACTGGATTATAGCCAAAAATGAATAAACCACATTATTTTTGGAGTCCACTGGGGCATTACCTCAATACATAAATGATGGGAATATTTGGCATCATTTGCACCACAAGGCAACAGATGCAAGTTACATTATGAATGCTACTTAGTGAGGTCAGGAAGTATGTGACATCTTCTATTAGACACAGGTACATATTCATAAGACAGTTTGTCATGGACAGCAGGACCCACTAAAAATTGGAATATTCCATTACCACAGAAATCCTTTGGCAGGCATTGCTCTAAAACCTAAGGAGGTTGCAATAGTTGATAATCCAGCCATTTGGAAAAATGGCAAATGCAACACTGTTCGCACCCTGTAGTGAGTGTGATGTTGGCAACACAATGCTCTCATTTAGATTAAGTGCTGTGTCTAATCCATCCTCCCCCCATTTAATACAGCATTAAATTTATATATCTATATCTATATCTATATCTATATCTATATCTATATCTATATCTATATCTATATCTATATCTATATCTATATCTATATCTATATC